AAATGTTAATACATGTAAATATTTTCAAAATATATACTGTATGTGTGTGTATTTATATATATACATAACAAATATACACAGTAAACACACATATATTATGTGAATAAAAACTTTTATTTTGGATGTGATTAATCATAAGTAATCGTTTGACAGCACTTGTTAAAAATAATTAAATGAAATGATTCATAAGTGTTATAAAAGTCTGAAATATTTGTACAGATGTGAATTGAGATTACAATATGATTTACCAATTATTTTCAGATCCATCTGTTGATTTTATATATAAACACTGTTTACAAAAAGTAGAGGGGCATCTATGAAACCTCTTAAAAAAGGCATATGTGTAATATTAACCTCATCTCCCTTCAGGACATATAGAGGAAATATTCCTATTAAAACTAATGGCAGGTAAATTTAGTAAAGAATCAGTGTTTTCCAACCTTACATTTAAAGCAATTTAAAGGAATCTGTAGTAGTTCATGTCATAATTAAATCATGTTAACTTATAGAATCTCTCAACATTGTTTCTCTGTGTGTACAAGTGTATGATTTTGTTGGAGACATTGGAGAAGCTTGGCATTATGGAAATTACTGTTAAATGTCTGGCTTGTCAGTTTGGCTCTTCTAAAGTCATGCTTTTACAGCGCATCTTTTGCGAGCATCTATTTGAGTCAATGCTAATTAGAATGTTTGGGATGCAGTATACCGTTAACTCAGCTTCACCACTTTGAAGTGCAGCGATATGACAATAAGCGATAAGAGCCGGCGCTCGCCTGTGCGTGCTGATGAGAGCAGCGCTACAATGTTTTCTGTCAGCATGCGCTCATTATCAAATGCGCTTCCGTTGGCTATGGGAAAGGGAGATGTCATTTTAGCTCTTAAGCGCTTTGAAAGTAGAATTTGTTAGGATGACATGCTTTCAGCAAGCACATGAAAAAGCAAAGTGTAGAGCAATAAGCAGTCGGTTATCTTTCCTGTCTTAACCTCTCGTCAAACCTTAGCTGTGGTAAACTGATGCAGATGCTGCCTTTAGTAATGAAATTAATGAACAAAAACAAATAGATTTGTGGATGCTTTGCAAATAATAACATTTACCTTTTACTTTTTATATTTTGAGGAATTTAGGAGATTTCTGTGATTATGAGCATGAATTTGAATTTGTCAAAAAGGATCCATACCCTCGTGTTTGCACAGAAGACTTAGAGGCACAGTAGGCAAAATTATATATATATATATATATATATATTATTATTATTATTATTATTATTATTATTATTTGGTTTTTTTTGCATAAAAGCCATCAATATTAGTCAACCACAGATTAAAAAAAAAAAGTGATTTAAACAACAACGACAACAAAAAAGCCTTACAAAGAAATAGACCTGAAAATATTGCAAAAATGTATTTTGAAAAAAATATTTTATTAAAACTCAGAATTGTTACAGAATCTTAAAATGTGTTACAAAGTACTGTATAAATCATTATGTAATCTTCCATAAAAGTGTTGCAAAATTATGAAATATTCAAACTCTACAAAAGTATTACAAACATGAAATATGATGGCATTGCAAAATTTAGTTAGGAAAGCCAAAATGCTTGAATTTTGTTACCAAGTGTAAAAGCATTATGAAATCTTAATTCAATCCTATAAAATAATATTATAATCCACTGAAGTATTACAAACAGGACATACAAAAAATATTAGGAAATCAACAAATTGGTTACTAAAAGGCAAAATACAAAACTATTAAATCATGAAAGATTTATGAAATGTGAAACGCACAAAGAATACCGAAGTACTAAAAAAGTATGAAATGTGAAAGTCAAAATATAAAAATTGTTTGCTTACAAGGTATGAAGTGATCCATGAAAGTGTTACAAAAATACGAAATATGACAGTATTGTTACTAAAAGACAAAGTATTATGAAATTACAAAAGCATGAAGTATTAGGAAATCTTTGCAGAACAGATAAAAAAAATAAAACTTAAAAAAATTGTCTTTCATGGAAATATGAATTATTCTAAAATATTTCGCAACAGTGTTACAGAAGTATAAAATTATCACATAAAAGTATCACAAACTTATTAAATTATTGTAAAATGTACAAAAAGGATGAAATATTAAATATTAAAATGTTCAATAAAATTGCATTTCAAATAATATTTAAATATCACAAAATTATGAAATGCAAAAATCTGATGAAATCTTCCATGAATGTACGAAAAGTTACAGAACCTGTGGATTAAAAAATATATATATATAATAGTATTATGAAATTGTTATAAAAAGCACAAAATACAAAATCATCAACAAATCAATGTATTACAAAATCTCATATAACTAGCAAATCTCACTATCCAATTTCCAGCCGTTTTCCAGTCGTAAGCCTAATTTGCATAGCCGCTGGGAATTGGAGAGAGCTGCTGGACGTTGCCATGTCTCTCAGCAGGGACGCATTAACTGCCACCGTGACTCCCTGCTGAGTTAATGGCCCTACTGACTCCAAATCAATGTCTGTCACGTTTGAAGTTTTCCACGGCAACTTCTCATTGTCTTGCCAGTGACCGTTCTGACCAGCGGAGCAAGCGTCTGGTCAACGATGCGTCCTCATTATTGCACAGTGTACAATATATAACCCAGAATGTATATATGTCTTCAGATGTGCTTGAGAGATGTCAAGGTAGTTTGAATGGCTTATATAAGCTCTCAGAGCTGTGCAGCTGGGTAATTAGTGCTCTCTGTGCTTCTGTCACAGGCTGCAGATCAGATTAAGCGACTCTATGATCTGTTCCTCAAAGTCGACGCCACTCAAGTCGAAGTCAATCCGCTCGGAGAAACACCTGAGGGACAAGGTAAGACGTGCGTGTGTGTTCATGCGTGAATGACAGACAAAATCGCTTGCTCACGGATTGCATAAGAGCTTCTGTAAAGATCCAAATAGGACCTTGCAGCTTCCAAGGATAAATGTCATTTCACACTAATGTTTTTATCAAACTCGTGGTTATGGAGAGTGCTGCCTCAGCAAAACTTTACAGGGCTTCTCCCACGTAACACTGGCACAAATATGCTCGTAATATGACCAAATGCTACTCCCAATACCATTTCCACTTGTTTTTTTTTTATATAGGTACCTGTTAGGAAATGATGTAGGATGTTGTAACGTTTATTGGTATGAAATTACATACAGTAGGTCCAGAGAGGGTAATGCCTGCAGTATTAGCCTGTCAAATTAAAGAAGGGGAGAGAAATCATCTCGGCCCTGCACCATAATGGCAAAATGATTTAGTCCTCATAGGGGCCGTCACAAAAGTGCCACCACATTTTCTCTACTTTTTTCCTTTCTTTTTTCCTTGCTTTTGTGGCTGTATTTTTGTTCTTATATATATATA